GGCCCGGGCTGGGGATTTGAACCCACCACCTTAGGTGTATGTGGCTGGTGCCTTAGCCGCTTGAGCCACAGGTGCCGAGCCAAGACCTTGTTTCTACTAAAAATAGAAAAACTATCACTAGTATGAAGGTAGACAATACTGTCTATGAATTTTCAATTTTAATATATAATAAATCACATTAGCAAAGATAATATGTAAGTAAGCCTAATATAACAGCAACAAGGAAAGTGCTTGAGAACATTTACCTCAAAATGTAAAATATAAAATATAAAGCTCATACCTCAAAATTTTCACTAACTTCTTGCATCATTTTTAACTTTGTTTCATCAGCTGTAAATGGCAAAACAAACCATCAGACAATTGAAATTATAATAAGGTTGTTCCTAAAATTACTAGATTTAATAACTTAAGAGAAGCAATCAGATCTTATCAGTTTGACTGTCATGGCCTAAGAGAAGGCACATAGCTAGCTAGTTCCCTATAATCAATCACACACATTTGTACTACCAGACACACATGTGCACGCACAGACAAAAACACAGATATACACAGACACACACAAACACACACGTGCCTCTTTGGGGCTCCAGCCAGTACTGCTCATCACTTTGCTTCTCTACAAGGTAGAGAATGGAAAAATAAAGATAAAAGTTAATGTCACCATTTATCTCAAAGTGCACATCATTTGAACTGATTTGAATGAGTCATATCAAAGCATTTCTAAAGGACAAAAAGGACCAACTCACGTGTATTTACATCTGTGAGAGCTGCCACAAACTGAAGGTACTTTTTCATCAGAGTGGTTTGGTCAACCACAGTGGCCCCCTGTGTTGCAACAAATGCCATTTTTCTTTTGAGCTGGTTTGTTTCTCAAGAGAAAAGTATCAGGTCCATAAGTTCACCCAGCCTATGAAAAGAAGCATATGGTCAGCCAACTTATGGGCAAGGGCTCACAATCTCTATGAAAATCTTACTGAAAGGCCTATATTCATCTAAGTACTCACACATTAATCTATAATAACACTATTTCTTCTGCTTTTTTGAATATAAAGTATACTCAAATCCACTTTATTAATTTCAAAATGTGATTTTTATATAGAGATGCTTTTCTTTCCCACCCTATTTCCTTCTTTCCCTGAGTCAGGCGTTGATAAACATTTTCTGTAAAGAGCTGAAGAGTAAATATTTTAGTCTTTGTGGGCATGCATTCTCTGTCACAACTACTCAGCTCTGCTGTAGCCAGAAAGCAGTCATAGACAACATGTAAATGAGGCTGTCTTCCAATAAAACTTTACTTATGGATGCTGAAATTTGAATTTCATATCATTTGCATTCATCATGAAATATTAGTCTTCCTTTTTCTCCTCAGCCACTTAAAAATATAAAACCATTTTGAGTTCATGGGCTGTATAAAACAGGCAACAGGCTGGATTTAGCCTGGTGACTGTGCTTCAGCAATCCCTGCCCTAGGTAACTGGTTCTCAAACGTCAGAGTGCATTAAAATCACCAAAGATGGACTCCCAGGACCACCCAAAAGACTGTGGTTCAGTGAAGGGCACAGAAAGCTTCAGATTTGGTTTGCAGCTGACACACAGTAGGCAAGCAAAAAATGTTCCTTGAATCAATAAATGCTTCAAAAAGCACCTCAGTCAGAAACAGGTTGCTGATGATTATACTTTAAGAATTGCTGCTTGATCTGACCTGTAGATGGAGACTTGGTTTCTATTTTAAGAGCTGTCACAAGTGTCCAGAGAACTTGGTGAAATTGCTCTCACCCATCCTCCCTGCATAATTTTTTTTTTTTTTTGAGACAGAGTCTCACTTTGCCACCCTTGGTAGAAGGGTTATATAGCTCACAACAACCTCCAACTCTTAGGCTCCAGCGATTCCCTTGCCTCAGCCTCCCAAGTACCTGGGACTTCAGGCGCCTGCCACAACTCCTGGATATTTTTTTAGAGATGGGAGTCTCACACTTCCTCAGACTGGTCTCGAACCTGTGAGCTCTGGGCAATCCACTCGCCCCTGCCTCCCACAGTGCTAGCCTCCTTGAATAATCTCAATCTGCATTAAGAGGTGATTTCATGACTTAGTTTTCTTTCTTTAATGGACACACCAATAATTCATCTAAAGGCCTTCCAAAGGCCCTGCTCTACCGAATATGCTCCCCTGCAGATGACACAGGCGATGGAAGCCACCCTGACACCAGAAAGCTCCTTCCAGTCATTCTCTCTTCCATGTAGAGGATGCTAACAGCTGTCCTTCAACAACCCGCCAAAAGCCCCAACCCTCTAGCTCAGGGCAGAAGTCACTAAGCCTTAGTGAGTAAGGAAACCAAAGCCAGAGATTCCACCAGCCCTGCGAGTGATCTGGCGACTGTTCACCTCTTTCAGGTCACACTCCCTCCTCCAAGCACAGAAGGCCCCACACCTCGTCCCCCCATTCCCAGAGAACCCAAGATTCAGAGGCCCGGGCTCTCCCTGCCTAAGAACTCCTAGTACCG